ATATATAGTGAATTATATAGATATAATTATATGTTTTGTTATGATGAGATCGACTGCTTGTACGAGGACTGTGCCTTTCGACTTTTATGTTGGCGATTTTGAACAGTCTCACTGTCAGTACGTTCATCATATGAACACAGTGATGACAGACAACAATGGCCTATTTGGTAACCACTGAACTTTCCAGCTGTATTACTATATTTGTGTACAACAACAACCTTACCTGAGCAACTTCTTACTTTATATGGGCAGTGGCGGTATACAAGATACCTACAAGAGAGCAATGGACGCTGATGATTTTGACTCCCCACCGGAACGGCGGACATTGGTAGATCTGAAACGTGTCAAAATGGAACGCGTCGCGGCCTCGTACGACCGGAAGCTAGCAGGTTTGTTCTAAAAATAAATTTTATCAGCCTACCAATGAGAAGGAAGCGATTGTGGTTCCCTTATCGGGCCTCTGGCACTCAAGATGCTGGTTCGTATCAGTGTTGGTGGTGGAATGCACTCACATCCATGTGCTTGACTATGCGTACGCAGTGATGTCTGTTGCCAACAGCAGATTGCGATACGGAAGAACCAACGCATCGCTAGTCGGTGGGATACGGTGTATATTGTTTACGCACCTAGCACACTGTGAAACTCAAACGTACACACACACACACATACACACACGCACAAACACACACATACACACACCAACTGGCTATAGGTACAAAGAATATGAAGCTATACTCGCTATCATATACACAAGCTCTTACACACATACACACACGCACAAACACACACACACACACACCAACTGGCTATAGGTACAAAGAATATGAAGCTATACTCGCTATCATATACACAAGCTCTTACTAATATGATTTGTTTATACTACTTAAAAACCCCAGGGTAGATTACATGTCCATACATTGGTTTCATATTTGTGACACCACTATAGTACAAGGCAACTGCAGTGAATCCAAATTCAAAGGATTGGGAATGCCTTTACTGTTAACAAAACTATTCTTTTTAACGACCCAAGGAACCGTACCGAACTGTCCCCACTGACTGTATTGTACTGAGTTGAGAACGGCAACGGCTGACTCCGTATACGTATGCGTACATACACTTACTTTCGCTACAATACGCGAGTACTATAGTAAACACGCTCTCGTAAGCTCATGTCATGCGTTCAACCATAGCCCCACTATAGTACGAGAAAGCCAGCGTAGCCACACACACACTCCTATGAATTCAATGACCCCTTTCATGGATACAGAGCTGTACTTCATGGAGACCCAGGGGACTGTCCTGGACTATCCCAACTGGTTACTGGACACAAAGAAGAGTACGGCGTTGATAACGTTTATGCGGTCTCGCAGTATTGACCTGAGCGACGAACGCTGGAAGGCGCAAATCAAAATAAGTAAAGACAAGCCGTGGTTGCATAGCGGGACGAGTTTGCCTGTCAAGAAGGAGGTATATATACGTATACGTTTATGTAGTTTGTGCGTGTATATGTGTTTATACATATGAGCGTGTTTAGAACCATGTATGTATAATTGTCTAGTTATAGGACACTTTACAGTTATTTTCGAAGCTGCACACCATGGCGGTTAGGGAACCAATCGCGTGCAAAACAAGACATACGTTTTGTCACAAGGAAACTATAGATAGACTGATATACTACCGACTTTACGACATAATGCGCATGTGTATTTATTCTTGTACCATGTATGTCGTTAGGACTATTCCTATCTAATCATATACTGTTGGAAAAACGGAAAGATTCCTCACAGTCCAGTGTGCTTGGGGGATGAGCTTCTTAACGTATTCGGGACTATTTCTACCTGTCATGGGAACACGTTTGTATCATGGCGGAGTATCAACGACGTATCCATTCCTGCATAGCCATAGCGCGCACACACAAATACGTATCATTTCTAAACATGCACACTCTCTCTCACACACAGCTGACCTTCAACACGAACCTTTTCCGACAAATATACACACACAAACACACAGCTGACCTTCAACACAAACATTTTCCAAACACATACACACACACACACACACATATACACACATTTTTACCTTTAACACCAACATTTCTAAACACATACACACACACACACACACACACACAGCTGACCTTTAACACGAACATTT